CCTTTTTGGCTCTTCCCCCAGTTTTTAATGGAAACATCTTTTTCTGGAAAATGCAGAGACTTTCCCGTTCGGTTGGAGAATCCCCATGTTATATCCTCAAATCAGCTATGGGCTGGAGTTGTAAGTACTGGTCCATCAGGGTACGTTCTTAATTCTAGCTACCGCAATCGTGATGTACCAGAGTACAAACAAGAACTTGGGAATGCCATAGGTAAGTGTTTTGTTATTTGGTAGTTCATTTTGGATGGCCTGAATGTATCACTCTGAATTTCTGATGTGTGAACCGAGTTCTAGAATCTGGGGAGCTCTCAATATCGAAGCTGCTATCCTTATAGTGATCAATTAATTAGTACGTGTTTCTACTCTGCAGTCAACTTTTCTCGAGTCGTGCCTGAAGGACTGCTGATATTTTTCCCTTCCTATTACCTTATGGACTCTTGCATTTCATTTTGGAAAAATGGGGTATGGCCGTTGTTAATTTTCTCTTAAATATTAAAAAAATTAGTACTCTTTAGCTTGAAAATCTACCGTTTCTTCATCATTCAGTGTCACAGAAACTCAATGACAGTATGGGAAAGAATTTGCAAGCTCAAGAAACCTGTCATTGAACCTAAGGATTCGTCCCTCTTTCCTGCAGCAATGCAGGTGAGCAACAGATGCCTCTGATCTTCTTTTGCTTCCAAAAGGCAGAATATTATATAATTTAATCGTGTCTTGTGTTTTTCTCATGGTAGGACTTTTCAGAAAAATTGCAAGACAGATCGACTTCGGGTGTGGTATTTTTTGCCGTTTGTCGCGGTAAGGTATGTTTTCTTCAACCTGTATGAAATTTGTCTGTTTGTAATAAGAGATATCTTGTGTATCCATATAGTATGTATGAGAATGCTGGTACAAAAAATAGGTGGTCAAAAGTTTCTCTAGTGTAGTGTCTTCAGTATGGCTGGTCTCTGTTGTGTTGTCAGGTCAGTGAAGGACTGGATTTTGCTGACGGTGCTGGCAGAGCTGTCGTCATTACTGGGTTACCTTATGCCAGGGTGACAGATCCTAGGGTTTGTCTGCTCTATCCTTTACTGTTTTGTTCTGAATTTGTATTTAGGCTCATTGGCAAAATGGTTGCAAAAACTAGTGAACTGTTTTGCTCTTTTTGAGAGTTTCTTTCTCATTTGTCTTCACTTTTATTTAAACTGGCACTGAGAGGGCACATAGCTTTAAATATTATGCTGCTACTTGCATTCCAGCATCATTAACCCATGTGTAAAACAGGTAATATTGAAACGAGAGTTTCTGGATGAACAATCACAACTTGCAGATGTCAAGGTGAGTTTGATATTTATTTGACTATTGACACATCAAGGTTATAATATTTCTTGCAATTTTTTAGCTTCCAAGATCAACCCTTCTATCTGGAAGCATGTGGTACAGTCAAGAAGCCGCACGGGCTGTGAATCAAGCAATTGGACGTGTAATCCGCCATCGCCATGATTATGGAGCTATCATCTTTTGTGATGACAGGTTTTGTTCATGCTATCCATAGCTTTTTTCTTTTCTTCCTGGCTTCATGCAAGAATGTTCTTTTCGGGCATATATTCCGGGCATGATGCATGTAAATATGTAGGCCTCTCGTTTTTGGACAAATAGATAGTGCATAAAATGTGGTAGTTAAAGGTACTGCCAATTTTAGCCTTGAGACGTATGCTCTTTGAGATTGCTTTTGGTTGATATTGTGTCTGACATTCTCTTTCTAAACTGTACTCGCTATAGTTTTTAACTATTCTCCAAATAGACAAGAACTGTGCTCGATCTTGGGTAAACATATATTCATTCTCGTTTTTTTCTGATTATTTCGTACATTGGCTATTGTTGACAGATTTGAACAACCGTCCCAGCAATCCAAGATATCACTTTGGATACGACCTAACGTCAAGGTATAAGTTATGCTCTGTCTTGCCTCTGCATTTTTATGGAGCTTAAGTTTTTTTCCTGGATACACCGGTTTTGCAGTGCTACTCTAGATATGGAGAGGTTATTTCTGACCTTGCTCGATTTTTCCGGACTGAAAGATCAAATTTTCCTGCAAGGCTTGTAACAGATCAAGAGAACACTATAGGTAATGCACCTTGCAGCAAAAAGATAACTTTCATTGGACGTTACCATATCTTAGTCTGCCTGTCCTATTATCCCATCCTATTTCTTTCCTTGTGATCGACTATGGTTTGTGTTTGGGAGTTGGGGCATGATATAATTGCTTATCTTGTATCGATAAGAACTTTGTGACCCCTTGGTTATAATAGGTTGGAACAAAATAAAAAAAGAGTACAGTGAGTAGTACGAGCATATATGCAATAGTTTGTCATAGCAAAATGCTCTAATACTTTAAGCCCTATTTTCAAGTATATGTTGGACATCATCGTAAGTCAAATCTTTTTTGATACAGATTCAACATTGATACCAATGGAATCAACCAAGGATAATCCTACACCAGCCTTTGGTCAGTGATTCATTTTTCCTTCATTCTCATGACTGAGGAAAGATGTTATCCCTTTTGCACATGGTTAGAATGTGGATCTAACTTCAACTCTCAAAGTTGTAATTTTGCATTGGGTATTTGATCTTTTGCAGGTAATAGTAATTTGAAAAACGTTGGGGTTGCGCAGAATGAGTTGAGTAGACTGGAAGCATTTCCTCCTGCAAATCGGGCTTCACCCTTGGAGCGTGACGGAAATAATGTTAAATGGAAAGGCCTGACCATTCTTAAACATACGGGCAAGATACCTCGCATTGTAAAGGGAGATGTTATGCAGGGTTGTTCTTCACGGAAGGCTAAGTTAGTGGAACTAAGTGATGATGAGGAGACTCCGGTAGAGAGGAGATGTGAAGTAGTGGATCTAGAATGCGACAACTGTGAGAAGCAGACCTGTGAAACAGAAGTGCTTGCATCAAGCACATGTTTCAACACAATGGGACTAAAAAAAAAGCGAAAGGTTCAAGAGAGTCAGGGAAGTGCATCGTCGTCAGTGTTGACAGCGAAAGGAAATGGAGGTGGTAGTAAAAAGGAAGCAAGTGCATCTGCATTTTTGAGTCAAGTTAGATCCCACCCTCTCTTTCCATGTTTCTCTTTTGTATATCAAGTTATTTGTTTACATTGGAAGTCATGTGCTGATGATCTTACTAGGTCAAAGAGAAGCTCAACACAGAAGAATATAAGAAGTTCATTGGATACATGCAAGCATTGAAGAAGAAGGAGATTAAGTTAGCAAACGTGATGGAGTCGATTGTGCAACTGTTCTGTGGAAGAGAGAGGGATCATCTTCTCATGGGATTCAAGGACTTTGTGCCAGTAAAGTATCGTCCTGCCTATGAGGAATGCATTAAAACGAGAAAAAGAGAAGGCTGATCGATCATCTTCTCAAACTCAAATTGACATTGTTACTCTCTTTACATTCTTTTTGTAAGTAAACTCTAACAGCCTTAAGTGTAGCTGAGAAGAAAAGAAAGAAAGTAAAAAAATTGTGACAAAAGAAAGTGAAATTGCATGAGAGTTAGTTGTCACTCATGATCATCCTCTTTCTCAGCCTCTCCCTGGCTGCGCGAGTACTGAGCGACCTCACAAGGCCTTTCCTGGTGATTCTCTTCTCCTTCTCACGAAGAGCGATGATGAGATCAACGAAAGCGCTTAATATGAACTTGTGTGACTTCTTGTCGTTGAGATCCAGATAGCAGAAGAGTAGCTCCTCCATCAAGTCCCAATCCACTTCGCTTTCTGGCATCCCTAACTTGGACTCCATCATCTCCACCATGGACAGCCTGAAGTCCTCTTGCGGCTCATCCGTGTATCTTAACACTGCGATGCAGTTCTCCGGCAGCACCAAGGTGGATCTCGATTGTCTATCCTCCGATGTAGACGTTGTTTCCATGCTAGGCCTCCCCTCCGATGATCCAGGAGGAGGAGATAGTCTCTCCGTTCTCAGCAAATCCGGCGGCTGTTTGGGGGAGTCGTAGACGGCCTGTCCCCATGTCCTCTCGAATCGGTGGCGATAGTCGTCGTCGTCGTGATCATCACTGTCGTCTGATGAAGATTCCCTTTTCTCCTTGTTTTTGGTCAGCCGGACTTGATGGTCATCCTCCTGGTCGTCTCTGATGCAGAGGGATTTGAAGTTTTCCTCAAGAAAACGATCAATGTCAGACAAGGTGGCGGCGTGAGCGGAGTCCTGCTGGTGAACGGGGTCGTCTTTGCTGAATCTGGTCTTGCTGCTGCGTCGTCTGTGCTTGAAGGAGAAGGAGAGCTTCTTGGGATGCTTACCAAGGACCCAATTCTTTGAGGATGAGAATGAATTCGAGGAAGACAGTTGCAGCTTCCCTGTCTCTCGTTTGATCTTTGACAGGTAACCATGCAGCGATTTCTGCAATGGGTTTGGCATATCCTCTGAGACTTTTGCTCTACAAACAACTCGGCTGCATGAAAACAATAGAGATTTTTGTTTTAAAACCAATTCTGGGAGATTTGATGCTATAAGAGGGAGCAGAGAGGTTCATTGGTCAAATCTGAAACTGTTCAACGCTTTTACGTTGTGGGTAATCTCATTAAATTAATAGGCAAGTTTTTTCTTAGATTTGTTTTTGTGTTAAATCTGTTTCCATAAGTTCCAGATTCTGCATTCAATGCATCGTTGAATAGTAATTTTTTTTTTTTTTTTTGTATTGGAACTTGGAAGTGAAGCTCACGCGCCTAATCTAAACACAGACTTGATTTACTTGACTCAGTTCAATGTTTAAGTACCATTAAGGTAACGTTGACAAAAAAATTAACATCTTTAAAAGTGAAAACAAATGAAGAAGACATGATAAAGCGGATAAGTAAGTAGCAAAACTGTTTTCGAGGCCCAACTTTTGTGGCCCAAGACAGGAGGTGTGCTTGTATTTTGTCCCACATCGCTTGTGAGACTAAAGAAGCAGAAAGAAGTTGTGCTATAAAAGAAATCTCACATCCTCCAGAGAGAAGCATCTTTGCGCTTGGGGCAATGACGCAGCTAATGAGGTTCTAACCGAGGCGCGTCTATTGCTGGTTGAAAACTATTTCCAAACCCCCTCATGGGCCTGGGCTCGACCTATGGCCTTTGAGAATTTCTGGAAGGGTTCCCTTCGGGGTAAAGCCCTACAAATCTTCAGTTTCAACTTTCTTTTTTGTGCTTGGTATTTATCATTTACTTATGTACTGTATGTGATGATTGAGAATCGTAATGTACTTGGGGAATCAAATAGGTAAATTCTCAAATGAAAGAATCATAATAATATTCAAACAAGTATGTTCTCAATCTGTCTCATTAAATTCATGTTTTTTTTCTCCGAAAGCATATACCTTTGTGTCACATATTAAAAATCCTATTTCCAAATGTAAACATAATGTACTCAGCATTGTTTTTGTTATATATCTGGTCATTGCACTGTGTTAATTAATATTATCCATTACAGATTTTCGGTTATTAATTATTAGTCTTACACAGATTGGATGGTATATTTTGTTTTGATAATTATTTTCTAAGGCCTATAGTTACATACAATGTCTCATATAATTTGTATTTTATTTTAAAAGGTATGATAAATTGGAATAAAAGAAACAAGAGTAAAAGCAAGGTTTGTTGTTTTATGTTTTCAACAAATATGTTTATCCTTAAAAAAATTAAAAAATTGATTAAAAGGAAGGATAATGGGAGACACGATCAGTCGTAGGAGTTGCTTCCGGTGAGAATGTGACACACTCTATACGTACTTTGTCGCGTATTTGTTAAGTTAATATTTTTACTCTTCTCTAATTTAAAAAAAGAAGGGAAATGAGTAAAAATACAGAGGCAAGGCAAACAATACGAGTCTTGTACGTATGTATTCTCTCTCTTTCATTGATTCCTAATAATCAATCAATCACTGAGTAAAAACACCAGCCAAATTAGAAGAAGAAGAAGAAGAAGCCCGAAAAGTGTTGATTGTCCAAGTTGTAAAATCGAGCACCTGCATTTTTTGGGGATTTCCTCTTCTCTGGAAACAAAGAGCCGCCCGCCACTGATGGTAAATAGTATATGCTTTTGATCCTCAACCTACTTCTTCTTCTTCTAGTAGTCACCAACCACATTCATTTTTGACTAGCTAGGAGACTTTATACTATGTGAAAGATTCTCTCTATACTCATCGATTTTGTTCTTGTGTGTGTCGGGATTTCAGACTTGTCTGATCAAATCCAACCATGATGAATTCTCAGTGATTATTGGTAGAGTCTCTTTTTTTTTTATTCTACCTACCTACTGTGTTGATTGAATGATTGGATGAATGAATGAAGCATACAACATATATAAGACAAGTTTTTTTGTTTGTTTATTGTTGCCAGATAAAGAAAACCATCCCAACTGTTCTTGTTCATCAATCATTCAGGAGGTGAAATGAATCATTATTTGGTTGTTATCAACTCATAATAATAATGGCAATGGCTGAGCCTGATCCTGATTCCTCTGTGGATCTCAAACACTTTACCACCCCACTCTTTAGCATCCCTGGCTTCTTTTCTGACTCTTCTGATGCCGGAAGGTCCCCTACTTCTCCCCTTGACTTTGGTGGCCTCTTTAGCCCCAGGTCCTCTTCTTCACCCCTCCGCAACAAATGGCTTTCTGACAAAGTCGGCCTTTCTCTTCTGAGCTCCAGCCTCGATCTAGGCCACGAGGCTTCATTCAGAAGGGACTACATTGTGCTTTCTCCTCAGATCAAGGTCAATATTGTTAATACAACAACTTCCAAGCTTTCCTGTGATCTGTTGTCTGATCCTTGTCTTAAATCTAATTCCTTGCCGAAGAACTACGCCGCTCCTTCATTGTCTGATGCGGTAAACATTCATTCCGACCTCATTGTGGAGGAACCAAGGAGATCAAGCTCATCCCCTATGGATATCACCTCCACTCAGGCTTACTCTCGCTCGCTCTCTGGGCGTGAGATGGCTCTCTCTGAGGACTATACCTGTATAATTTCTCATGGACCAAACCCAAAAACAACTCATATATTTGGCGACTGCATTCTGGATTGTGACCCCAAGGAAGATATTGAGATGCAGGAAGAAGGGGATGATGATTCTTTGCCTAGCACAGGAAAACCTCAAGATCATATTGACAGGTTCTTCTGGCTCAAACTTACAAAGCGGTGAGTGGTGTTCTGATTTAACCTTGAAATAACATCTCTGACATGTATTTCCGTTTCTGGCAGAATGAACAACAGGGCAGAAAAGGAAAATGAGAAGGCCGGTGTTGAAGATTCATCTCCAGGATCAAGTTACAAGGAGGAGGAACTGTTTCCTATGGCAATGCCTCTCAACCAATAATGAGATGGTTGAAGTGGCCAGAGTGAGTGTTGTAAGGTTAGGTTTGGGGATGATTTTATTGTGTGCTCAATAAAAAGCTTGATTGGGGTGAGTTTTGTTGTGGCCTGATGCCCCGACTCATCCATTTGCTTGCTTCTTGTGTGTTTTATTTTACATTGTACGATTGTGTTGTTGTCTCTACTTATCCTCCTCATATGATGGACATGCCACTTGTATGGATCTACATTACTGACTATAAAAAATTTTATACTATTTTGGGATACAAGAGTGAGAGACAATAATGGAAAGAAAAAAGAAAAGAAAAAAAAAGATCGACCACAGTGGGAGTCGAACCCACGACCTTTTGATCCGAAGTCAAACGCGCTAATCCACTGCGCTATGCGGTCATTCTTGTTTCATATTGTTTCATATATCAATCAATAGATTTATAACCCCAAACTTCTTCTTTCTTCTTTCTTCTTTTCTGTTTCTGGTCGCTCGCTGCCACCAAGACTCTCTCTCTCTCCCCCTGTGCAATTGCAAAAGGGCTTTTGTTGCGTTTCCGTCTCCGAGGAAGGAAGTTGGCTGTATCATTGAGAATTATCGATCTGCTGTGCCGATTCAGCGGATCCGGTTTGATCTCTCTTTGGCGAATCTAGGCTTGCGTGATTCTTACTTAGGTGCGTTCTCCATTTGATCGTGTAATTGAGGGTGGAAATCGAAACTAGATCTGGTTTGTGTATTTCGGGATTATTACTTAGGATACTAGGGAATTTTGTTTTGTGCTATCATCTGCTGCAGCAATGTTCTATGGCACAGCTGTATGGGACCCTTGGCTTATCGTTGGCCAGATTATTTGCCTCCAGTGCTCTTACTATCTCACTCTTGGTCTCTTCACCATGGTCTTTCTTGGCCTTCGTGTTCCTCGCCTTAGTCTTGTCTACTTCTTCGATTACGCTACTCTCACTACTTCCACCTTCACTGGTTGGTGTGTCATTGCCTCTTTCCTCTTCTCTTCACTCGCTGGGTATTTTCCTTGCCTATCCTTTTATTCTTTGCTTTCTCTTTAGTATTACTTTTCACCATTCATTTTATTTGGCAGGGCTGTCTACATGATATTTTTGGTGGAACGAGCACGCAAATGCTTAGATTTCTCTGCAACTCTCTACATCATTCATCTCTTCTTCTGCATCTTGTATGGCGGATGGCCTTCCTCTATGGCATGGTGGGTTGTTAATGGAACTGGTCTCGCTGTTATGGCTCTGCTAGCTGAGTACTTGTGCATTAAACGCGAACAGCGAGAGATTCCCATGGATCGGTTCCATTCAAGTAAGATGATCATTCTTTCTTTCATGACTCTGTGCACAGCATATACTTTCTCATGACACATGAAATTAAATTTGGCTGCCTATGCTGCTGCAGGGGTTTGAAGATTGGTGTATGAACAAGTGATGAAGATTCTTGTATCAGGGCGGGCGACTCATAGAGCCTACTAGTACTCTTAACAATTGTGATGTACAGAGATGAAATCAGAGGAGTAGAATGGGCAAAAAGAACATGAGCCAGCCAAGTAACCATGTTGAAGCACCAGCTCTGACTGACTGCAGTTTTGTAGTGACCTCAAAAATTAAGACATTGGAATACGTTTCAATTTGTTCTTCTGTATGAAAAAACCGTTAAGACTCGAATAGGTTATTGATTTCATGCTACTTCTTGCTTCTTCTTTTTATATACTGGATCTCCTCTCCTCTACTCGGTGCAGCTTTGTGTGTTTTATAATCAGTGTCTCATACTCTTTTACCACCAATTGATTCCTTAAAAAAATCCAATTTACTTGGTTCTTGGACTGTGTTTTAAAAAAAAGGGGGTCGAAATGTAACATCTCGTATACGGTATGGTCAAGTGAAAAAAAAAACGCGTGATAAAACGACGTCGCATTAGAAAGACAAGAGCCCAGATTCAGATCCAAATCGCCAACGCGCACTGGAAGTGGGATCAGCACCACTGCCCTTGTTCGACATCTCTGATCCTCCCTGCGATCGGGGGCCATCTCCGTCGATAATCCGATCTCCGGTTCAGGCATTCTTTTGGACTTGCAAAGATGGTGAGTGACATGATCTCTCAGTTTCTCCATAGATGTACCTCTGAATCCTCTTTCAAATTTTTAACTTGAAATCTCAATTCTGGGCTATTATTGTTTTGATTTCTCCTCTCTTGTGCACTAACCTAAAAGTGTTTGCTTCTTTTTTGTTTGACAGCCTCTGCGACTCGAAATCAAGGTAATGCAGTCTCCCTTGATGCTCGATTTAGACCTCTTTCATTCTAAATCATTCTTATTCGCCTCTGTGTTTTGATCAGCGTAAGTTTGCTCAAAGCTCCGAAAGAGTCAAATCTGTAGATCTCCATCCAACAGAGCCATGGTAATTTTAGCGCATTCTTCATTGCATTATTCTCTGCTTTACATCATTCTTACTTCATTTTTTTAAAGGAAACAGCTACTACTAATCCATAGATTGTTTCAGGATCCTGGCAAGTTTGTATTCCGGAACCGTGTGCATCTGGAATTACCAGACACAGGTTAGTATCATCTTACTGTCTATCTATTAGTTTTCCTGATTCTTCATTCCGATATTTTGTGTTCCTTCTCTATTATTGTTAACCCAAATATGACTTACTTTGCAGACAATGGTAAAATCTTTCGATGTGACTGAATTGCCTGGTATGATATACAGCATCTTGTTGTTCCTGGTCCTTCTTATGCTGCCTTTCGCACATCATTCTGTGGTCCTGCATTTCTTGAATCTGTCTTCTTGTTGTGC